ATATACTAATAACCTAAAGAAAATGGCGAGAGAGTAAAAGCCACACTCCAACAACAGATTGGAAACGAAACAGACCAAACAGAGAAGGAAAGAAGGGGGATATTAGCCCTCAATTAGATATGTGCAAAACCAGCCATGTTTATCCAGTGTATTTCTTGGTAAAAGGTAAAGGTAAAGGTTTCCTCTTGACGTGAAGTCCAGTCATGCCTGACTCTCGGGGGCGGTGCTCATCTCCGTTTCCTGGCCGAGGGAGCCAGCACTTGTCCGCAGACAGTCTCCGTGGCCACGTGGCTGGCATGACTGAACACCAAAGTGCACGGGACGCTGTTACCTGCCCACCGAAGTGGCGCCTTTTCATCTACTCGAATTTGCATGCTTTCGAACTGCAAGGTTGGCAGGAGCTGGGACGGAGCAACGGGAGCTCATTTCTTGGTAAAAGCATACAAAAAGGGATACCTCAAGAATCAACAAAGCATTTCACTTTATGCATGCTCAGGGGCTTGTGAATGACTTCTGCGTAGAATAAAGATGCTAACAAGACATGCTGGAGAGTCCGTCTTGCGGGGAGGGAATGGTTAGCTCACAGCACCCTTCCCCATTCCTTCTACACCTCCCCTCCACGTTCCCTGGAAGCACGGAGAGGGCCCTGCCCCATGGCCCCTGTGGGAGACAGACAGAGCTGCCAATCCAGGGGTCAGTTCCTGGCCGAGTCGGGATCCCCACCATCTTGTCTGAGCTCCGGGGAGCCAGCTGCCTCCGGCCAGCCCCAGCTAGAAGCCACACAAAGAAGCGGAGCGCAAGACGAATGCCTGAGCGTCCGCACGCATCCTAATGTTGGACTAACCTCAGTGGCATGCCTGAGGCTGCCGTCGCTTTCCTCTCGCGGTGAAATGCACGCGCGGCATCCCTGGGGCCGGCTGAGCCTTCCCCTTCGTGCTTGTGAATATATTAGATGGATGGACCGAGGAAGACGTTACGGGCGCCTGTCTGTCCCGGGGTGAGAGGGACAGATGTCTCGGTCATCTAGCTCTGATTCCGTTCCCCGGCCCAGGTGACCCTGAACACCTGGCTCCTTGCTCAAGCACAGCTGTATTCCCAGCGCGCGAGGCGAATTGCTCCTTTGCACGGCGGGAGTTCCGGCTGAGGGCTTGATCCCCACAATTGCTCGAGGAAGCCAGAAGGAGAGCTGGCAGTGACCCGAGACACACGGCAGGCCTTGGCCATCCAGCTGGAGAGGGGGACTGTCGGCGGGGTGGAGGGCCATTTGGCCAGGAGGCCAAAATGCCATGTGGCGGCGCAGCGCGTCAGCTCCCGGACCACTGGCCTTGCCGTGCTCGCCGGGAAAGGTGGCATTGCAAGAAAACGGTTGTTTTTTCCACAATGCCCACCCAGCTACAGTTGCACAGAAAGCAAGCTAGCAAAGTACTTGCTAAACAAAAACAGATTGTTGGATAGTTTCATTTTTGTTAAAAGCATTGATGTGTGAGATGTAAACATTCACATCAGCACGGTTTCTGTAACCTTGTTGGCAGTTCTTTCCAATCTACCGGGGAGCGTCAACGATGGAAATAGCCCAGCCCTGTCTCAATCTGTGAGGGGGGCTGATGGGGGATGATGGAAACCGTAGTCCTGTACGGACAGATGGTGTCACGGTGGGGAAAGCTGTTACTGTTCCTTGCTCTCTGGGAGCAAAGCCGACACTCCACAGGTCCTCACTGACAAAGAGCTAAAACAGGCAGGGAGCAAGTCACATCACTCGGCTTGCGCATCCCTCTGTTTATTTATTTTATTCTATTTGATTTACTGTTTGATTTTTAGTCTGCCCCTTTAGCCACACGGCTCTCGGGGCAATTGATAGACAATCGGCCTCCTTTGCACCGCTCACGAGTCAGTTGATCAGCCCATAAATTCTTCATCAGCCACTTGCTGTTACATCCGCAAGCCGGCTCTGCCAGCCCCGGGTCCAACCCGTCGCCTCACTGGCAGACGATGGCTGGCCTTCGTTTACTGGCCCTTTCTGCCAAATGCGGAGAATTTAACCCCCCTGGGACCCCAAGCTCCATGGCAGACGAGGTCATCCCACGGCAGAAGTCCAGGGGGTCAAGATCCACCCCACTAGGGGCCTTCCTGGAAACTTGGTTAGTGTCATTACACAAAGGAAGATGCCAAGACAAATTCGGGACAGACGAGAGCTGTGTTTCAGCCTGGTTTTGATAAGGATTCACTCAAAGCTGCAGTGTTTTCTATATTTAGACCAACAAGAGCGTGAATGTGAAGAGCATGGGTTTTTGGTTTGGTTTGGTTTTTTCTTTCTTTTTTTTTTAGAAAAAGGAACGTAGGAGAAACCAAAATGGCCAGGTGTGTCTGTCCAGGCCAGGACCTTTGACCTCTTAAAAAGGAAGACTGTAGATTAATTTAATTTCTTCTAAACAAAAGAGGGATTCTGCATCCACTTCGCTCAGGCAGAGCTTGCTGCGCAGGTTCTTTCCTTTTCCTCGGGGGAGTGGGGAGGCATCATTGCAAATGACAACGGTCGCCTGGCTCTATTTCACACCTGCCTCAGTTTCTCATATGTTGAAATGCCTCTCAAAAGTTCCCCCATGAGCAGCATTGTTACAATACACTGAGTTGCACAGACTAGTTATTTGGCTTTGCGGGGTTTGCCTTTGACCACTGAAAACCCGCCCCAAGAGTCTTCAGACTGGGATCCACCCGAAGGCGGGAAGAGATTTCTCATCCACACCCCCCATAGGGTCACTGGGAAGGCGCCCCCCCCCTCCGCCCCAGTCCCCTCCTTCAAAGACATGAAGCAAGCATCTCTCTCCTGAAATGGGACACGCACGGCTTTAAATATATCTGCCTGCTTGGCAAGGCACTGGTTTAGCACCACTTTAGTCTGTGATCGGAGGTTATAAATAGCATCAGCTAATGTCCGCCCCATTCTTCAAGCGCTGCTCTGCCTGTCGCTTTAACCCACCCTTAATATAACGACAGCACAGACATGATTAATATCGATCTCCATTTCCTTCGCATCTCGTCGACTTTGCTTGTCCGGCAAACTCAGCCAAGGCCTTGAGCATCACCCGGGTCTGCAGCCAGCAAAATGCCCAAACGTCGGAAAAACGTTGGGGTGGGGGGGG